CTTCTAATTCTCTATAAGTACAGATAAGATATACTACTCTATTTTAATTAAAGTCACGTTCTTCTTTCCGACTTAAAAGTTTAATTCTTTAAATTCAAATTCAATTTTTTAAAATATTATTTGAGAAAAAAAGGTTCATCCATAAATTACGTCACACTGCTTTTAACCCCTCCAGTCAAAGAGTGTTCCACGCTTTGGCAATATTTTTTACTGGTTGGCATAAATAGAAAATAAATAACAAATTTCTACTCATCAATTGATAAAAAAATGTCAAAATAGAAAAACTATTAGAATATCAAAAATTGTTGATTGTTTGTGGCTTATTGAATGTCAAAAAAATAAAAGATTTTTATACTCTTCTGTTCGATCTTATGAGACACAAGTTTTCTTGATATTCTATCAGTCTTTGGCAGATTTATAATAGGACGAAATTAAAAAATGTAACAAAAAAGCGAACTAAATATAAATGTTACGGTCATTGTCGATTATTGGGCATTGTCGACATTGCCCGGGTATTTTTAACAAAATTTAGTAAAATGTGACAGTGCCCGGGCATAGTCAGTAATGCCCGGGCAATGTCGTCATTGCCCACTTACTTTTTGGCAATGTTATTTACGAATAAAAAAAGACGATTCAGTTATCCTGTCTTGCAGGTGCATCTTTCATACACTGTTAGAAATTTTTTTAGGATTTTTCAGAAACAAGCAACGGAAGTTTTATTTATTTAAATAATGATTTCTAAGTTTGTCTTAAAATTTTTTCTATTGCACTTGATTTTCAGAAAAAAAATTATTTAAACTTAAAAATATTGAATAATAATGCTAATGTTTAAAAATTATTTATTTACGGTTTTTAAATAAATTTGGTCAAAAATAACTGATAAATAATATTAATAATATTTATTTCTTACTTTTTATACACAAAACTATTTATTCAATCAAATAATATTAATCATTCATTTATTAGTAATTAAATTTCATAAACATAATTCAATAAATAGTTTAAAACTGAAAATTTTGTTACAGTTTCGTAATTTTCAGTTACATTTCATTAAATTTCCTTAACTAGTTACTGATTTTAGTTTGACTGAAGTTAGAATTTTGTTACTCATTAAGGATTTTTACTAAAAATGTAATGTAAATGTAAATTTTGTATACGTTATTGTGTGATTAGTTTTGTATATACATCATGACGTATGAAGCTATTATATAAAATTTTCGACATTGCCCAAGATGGACCGGGCCAATAACCGTGACTATTGTGATGCAAGTTTTCAATTCGTACAATATTTATTTCTATTTGTTAAAATTTGACACTTGTAAATTTCTTGGCAAAAATAATAAGACAATTCATAAATTTTAAAAGAATTTGTTTAGTAAATAAATGTATTCAATATAAAAATTGCGTTTTTATACTTTCTTTCTAAAAAAAAATAAATGATTATGGTTAAAAAAAACCTTTAACCGGACAATTATATCTCTAAAGACGGGAATTTAAATCAGAAATGACTTTTTTTAGAATTACAAAGGTTGGATTTTTTCTATTGCCATTGCATTATACTCTGAACTATGAAAAGGGACTTTACTATTTTAAAGTAATACTCTTAGAATTTCTAAACTAAATGAGAATTTAAGCTCAATATAGATGTTGGCTGCATTTTATTATATATACGTACACACGTATATATTTTTTTATTATATTCTTTATAACATATGTATAATTAATTGGCTGTAGGGGACATTTTGAAAGGACATACATATGCGTTTAATTATACCCTAAAATATGGGAATGTGGCGCCTAAGAAAGAATGATTCCTCTACTTTTTTGTGAATCTCACAAAACTAACGTAGTCTAAACAGATATACGAGTTTATAACTGTTCTTTAATTTAGGAAAAGCGACATAAATTAGTATTATTTCAAACAATATAATTACGAGAATCCTATAATACAAAAGCTAAGGAATTGTTAATTGGAAAGTGATATATTGTTTTAAAATCCAAAACGAATTTTGATTTTCTTCAGATTTTCAAATGTCTATTTTCGAAAATGTTGGAGATGCATGGATAATTAAAAAAGAATGATATATGCAATCAAATCTTGATTCTCTAAAGATGCAGAATTTCTACTGTTGCACCTTTAGAGAATAAAAGCAGAATAAAAAAACCGGACAAGTGCGACTTGAACTCGTACTAAAACAGAGGGAAAATTCAGAAAAATTCAGTACAGGTACGGAAGTACCTGTACTGAATTTTTCTTGAAGTCTAAATATAAAAATGTATACGAATATAAATCTGCACTCCACTAGGTCAAGAATCGTAACCGCCAGGGATGAGTACATACTTTTTTGTCTAAATTTTCAAAAATATCAATTTTTTCGTTGAGAACCGTAAAACGTTCAACTCCAAATATGTTTGATATATTATTCCTAATATCTACACATGAAAATACATAAATAGGTAATGCACAACTGCTGTCCACTAAGCCAAGAATTATGAGCGCCCGGGGGGTAAAATCCTTTTTCTTACGCCAAGAATTGAGAAAAACAAGGGGGGTACACACTTTTTTCTAAATAAAAAAAAATTTCTAGTTTTTCCCACAAAAATACACATAAAAATAAATAAAAATGTATAACGCCAGTCTACTAGGTTAAGAATTGTGAGAACCAGCAAGGGTTAAAGTATTTTCGAACTTGCAAAAAGAGATTTTAATTTTTCAATGAAAACACCATGAAGATTAATTCTTTATAGGTACTAAATTTGTTCTATATTTTACGAAAAATTTATTCGACAAATTAACATTGCAACGGTTACGTAGTTTCACATTTTATTGTAAGATGTTGTTAGATATATGAATCGGCATAAAGAGAAGAAGAAGAAACGCATAAATATTGAATTTGTTTCATTTTACTAACCGTACAAAACAAATGATTAAAGATATAACTAACTGTTAAATTGATAATTGTAATTGTTAATAACACCATAGTAATATCCGATTTCTAAACTAATTTGATTGGGTGATGGTATAGTTAAGCCACATCTGTTAAAGATAATTTTAGAGAACTAAAAGAATATATATAAAAATATATATAAATATATATATATATATATAGTCAATTTGTTGCTTTATAAATTTTTTTTTATAAATCACAAGCATACAATAATTGAAATGAATTAGAAACTTGTGATTCATTCAAATTATTATGTTCTTTTAATTGGATGCTTACTTTCTTATACTTTTTTAAAATTACAAATTTTTCTCACATGGTACACTTTCTAAAAAATTTTTTCAACTTATATTTGTAAAATATAAAAAAAATATTTCTAATGTTATAGTGAAAGTGTGACTAATTGTCACTTTTTCGTTAATTATGTTATTACATATATTATATATTTTTTTGTACTATGCTTTTTTGTAGATTTATGCTCCAGATAAAGTTTTTTTTCTGCAATTTTCTCTGATCAAAATATTTCTATAATGAAATATTTATATAGCTTATTGATTTATTTGTATAAGAAAGTAGAGCAATTCCACACATCACCAAATAAAAAAATTAGATTTTAAGAAACATTGTTTTATTCAAATTGACATAACTTCTACAAAAATTAAACGATTTTAATTTATATATTTTAAAGCATTTGTTGTGTACTTTTCAGTTCCAAAAATCTTTTTTTAAAAATAAACCTTATTTTTCAATTTTTTTTACAAAAACTACCTTTTTTTATATTTTTATCATTTTTATTGAAAAGCTGAGATTTTTTCCAATAAATTATGTAAAGATAAAAAATGGGATAGCAATGGGTTTGCAAGAAAATAAACAAAAGATGTTTGAAATGTTGTTTTTTTTTATTTTCCTAAAAACCCATTGTTGTTTCATTTTTAAAATTTACTTAATTTATTGGAAAAAATTTCAGCTTTCCAATGAAAATGATAAAAAATTTAAAAAAGGTTTAAAATGATTCGGACAAACTAATGTTAGTGTTTAAAATGATTTTCAGTTCGGATAACAGAGAGTTATGATAAACGAGCTTCCACTGTAATATGAATGAATCAAAGTTTTTACACCAGAATGCAGAAAATTGATATAACCCATACAAGATAAATTGTTGAATGTTTCTGATTGGTCGAAATAAATGCTTTTTAAATCAACACACGCATTTTCCACTGTACAATCTGCCTTGTAAGTTGTAACTGATATAATCTTTCTGTTTTCTTGAAAGAATCAAATTGATAGCAAAATTTCGATGAAATAATGATTTGATTTAAATATTGGTTTCAATTCGTAACAACTTGACGACTAATGATAGTTACAATTATTAATTAACAGTCGGGAATTGTTGACTTAAAACCTAAAAGCTTAGAACTAGAGAGCGAAACATTTGGTATACAAGAGTGAAGTATTTGCCTAATTTGTATGTATTCTTCTTCCACCTTTTTGAGAAAAAAGCGTTTTTGAAGAAAGATTTGAATTTGAATAAGATATTACAGAAGAGCAAGGTCGTATTGATAAAATTGTCATGGGCTTTATTTTCCGGTCCAAGTGTTTCTCTTTCGTTGAAGGTCGCGTTGCAGCAATGCAGCAGATGCGGATTGGCCCTGCGAAGAGGAAGAGGAAGCTCGAACTTGCCGCGGATTAGGTGGGTATTCTTGGCAATGGTTGGTGTGCCGTGCGCCGCTGCTTCGCCGAGCGTATCGATTGAGGTGAATGGCACGAAGCGACGTCGCGGTCCGGTGTCGACCTCCACCAGCAAGAGTGAACAAGAGTAGCCGGTGCAACCCTACGGTTGCTGGTGGCTAGTTGCCATCACTACTAATGCTTGCCAGTAGTGGTGGAGTCAAGAAATGATTCTCAGCCGACTAGCCGAGAACTATTCCTCGACGATGCGATGGTGGAGGCTAGAGATTGTGGAAGGACGTTGGCGCACACCGCGGGAAGGGAACTCGAAAGGAAAAGGGTGGTGGGGACGCAGGGCGCGGGAGTGGGGGAGGCAAAACAGCAGACGAATCGACTGCCTATTATAAACGGGACTCTCTTCTCCGAGCTGTCAGTTCTTCGTTTGAACGTATCACCAGACTTTGATAACACTCTGATATCCTGCCTCGTTAGTGTTGTGCTTTATTAATTTGTCCAGGTCGGACACTTTCCTCCTTAAGGCAGTTTACTGTCAGTGCACGACCCAGAGATCGTCTCTGTCTAGACAATCAGCTGGGCACTCGCCGACTGCTGCATCAGCTGATTCTCTATCTGGGAGGCTGCGCTCTCCTCAAAAGAGATAACACAGTTTGACAGTGCGCCGTTGAGGTAGGTCTGCAGATTCGAGATCGCAAGGTCGTCCTCTGGCAGGCCAGATAGTGAAGTGATTTGTTTTCCTCTTCTCTCGAAAAACATCTTTAAGGACAAGGACATGGCTACCTATGCAGCTTACAGGCACGTCGAGCTTGATAACGTCGGATATGGCAAGAAAAGGTAGTCATACAAACATCAACGTTTATTTATTTACTTGAAAAATCATCAGTAAAAACTGATTCGTCAAAAACGAAACTTGGTTCTCAATCTGAAAATTGCGGACTACGTTCTTTATTTCAAAATAAATTATTAAATATTCGTAAAAATGACACAAAAGCTGTAATTTCAAGTGTTTACATAGAAATGTTCTGTAATGTCGTTACATTACATCTTAGAATTAACAAAGGTTTGCCACTGTCTCTTAAATTACTTGTTTCACGCTCAATTAAAGTATTAACCACTAAATTACGTTGAACCTAAATCTTTTACTATAGAGAAAAGAACTGTCTTTACATGTTTTTATTCCAATACAATGCCTTCTATTGACAACTGAACTAAATTTAAACATTTATTTTTAGTACAAACCAAATAATTCTTCAATTAACTTAAAAATACATTCTAAAAAGTAAATACTACACAAATTATTTTAAGTGTAGCATATAGAATTATAAATTAAAAAATTTGTGCTAATAATAAAGAATTTTTAAACTTTAGTTTTAGTTTCTAACCGCTTTTCTCATAAACACTAATTTCTTCTAAATTATATGATTAATTATTTATTAAGTCATTAATTAATCACTCTGTGAAGTGGGTCTATCGAATATATTTCTTGAGATAATAAAAAAGTTATTCGAAATTCATCTCCAGAAAAGTTGATAAAACAATTATAATTTACTGGTAAATAAAATTGTCCCTAATCTTCATTAGCACTAGATGTTAGCTTTAATTGAAATGATCATGGCATTAGTTTTTATATTCACTTAAATAGTTACAGACATGTACCAAAAATTTATAATCCTCTCGTTGGATTTTGTTGAAAAAAATTTTTAAATTTCTTGAACGATAACAAGAGAAATGAGATAAGAATTTTATTAATAAAGACTGTGTAGTGTATAATCCGTAATTCTTTATTGCTTATAAACTTATAATGAATCGAGCTTTAAGTAATAAATTACACTTCAAATCCGTGAATGGAGAAACGATAATTGATAATTATCCGCTTCTGAACAAGATGACTGATTTCCTATTGTCTCATAAATCACGAATGGAATATCGAGCGTAATGAGGAAAGCTTGCAGCTCTTACTCTCCAGCATAATTTATTATCATCCGCTAAATCCCTCTGTATATTTTTATTGCCACATGATAAGTCTTATAATATACTTTTTTTAATTCGAGTTTTCACATTCTCCGTGGTATGATTTAAAGAGAACTATACTTCAAAATCGTATACTGAAAAGAATTAAACATTAATTGGATTTAATAGTAATTACGCATTTACTTCATCATTCATTAGATTTTATTTTTAGGTTGAAAAGTAGGCTAATTGATGATTTATATTTTATTATAAAATCAGATTTTCCTTTTTAGAATTATTTTAGGATCATTTAAGATCTTTATATCCCTTTTGCTTCCTCATAAAAGCATGATATTACCAAAAATTTTCAAACTAGATTTTTCACTTTTTTCACGTTTCTTAAACTGAAGAATTCAAAAATCATATTTTTAAAAAATGTTATTTCGTACACATGTGCATCTTACATTTTCAAAAATATCTCGAGTTCTATAAGAGTTAAAGGGATGATATTTTTTAATTTTAGAACTTTATAGGAGGACACAAAATCAGTAGTCATTAAACCTCGTTCATCAATTTTAACTGTTTCTTCGCGATTTAAATTTTTTCAAAAAAAGTTTTTTGCAAATATTCAAAAAATGGCATATACAAATAGGTCCAATTAATGTATTTCTTTTTTTAGCGCAAACCTCTAATAGTATAGCTTTTTAGACTTTGAATTCTCGAATAAGTTTCTGTTATTTGTCAAAAATAATTAATTTAAAGATGAATTTTAGTTAAAATGTAATTGAATATTATAGTTATAATGTAGTATTATATTATATGGTTATATTAAAACTTTTAGGAATAAATAATTACATTTCAGAAGGTTTGAAATTAAAATTTTTGAAAATTTATATTTTGAGTAAAATTAAAGATTTTAAGAACGTAATTTTTTGAAAAATTTTAGTTCACATTTTTTGAAATTGTATGAATTTGTGCATATATTGATTAAAAAGTTTTAGAATAATCGAAATGTCGTAATATTGAATTTAAAACAATTGAATTTTAGACGAATTCCAAGTGAACTCTTGAAGAACTTTTTCAAAATTGAGGCTCCGGATCTTAAAAGGGCACTTTTACCATTTAAAATCAATGCTGAAAGTGCCCTTTTAAGATCCGGAGCCTCAATTATTAAAAATAATTGACTTAGAAAAGAATTTCAGTAAAAAGTTCTAGAAATAATAAAAGTTTATTTGAAAATAATTGAATTTTGCATAGATAAACTTAGAATTGAAGTTATTATTGACATAAGAAAAAAAAAGTTAACAAATTTTCTGGAAATTTTGACAGAAGTGACTTTTTGGGTTTTGAACACTTTGCTTTCTCAAAAAAAATGTTCTTTTTATGAATATTATAAATTGCATTATTGTTATATATTTTTTCTTGAGAAAGCAAAATGTTAATGAAAAGAACACACAAATTTCTGCTTTAATTTTGTATCGGTTTTTAGTTATCATTGCCTTTATCTTTAGAGACCGTATTTATGAAAGTACTATAAATACAGATCAAGAACAACAGTTCTTGTAATCTTTTGTCATTTTAAACTGATTGAAATTAGAAACAAAATTCAATTGAAAAGTTTTTTTTATTAAAAGAGTGCCACAAAATGAGAGTTTCTTGAAATTATAATGAACTATATATATAGTTGAATATTTGTTGATTTTGCTGAATCAACAATTATCTTTGATTATTATTGTGACAGAATGTTTTTTCCAACTTTGATGACGTTCTCGGGCAATGAACTCCAAGTCGGTTAATCGCTCCAGAATTTGCTATGCACCATAATAATTATCCCAATAGTGGGCTAACAATGCATTCCAAAGACTGGCTGGCAGTGCTTGGCACCCTTCTCATTTATAATCCTGAACTTATTAGCTTCATCCGATGCCTTATCGATATTATCAATGCATGAAAATAAACTCTCGATCACATTATCACTGTTATTGTCATTCAGTAAAATGGATCACACAGAGAGTTTAGCAATACTCTTGTGAGAAAGGCTTTAGGAAAAGACGAGGAAAAGATGATGTTATAGATCCAACCGATAATGAAAAAGATTCTTCTCATCCAGTGACTGTTAGCTCCAAATACCAAAGTCGAATTCTAACATGAATAAATTTTATTGTAGATTATTAGAAACATTTTTTTCTCTTAATATTGCTAACGTTAGAAATGACCATCATTAAATGTCTAAATGATGAAACTTGAGTTAATTCAAAGTTACTTTAATTGTAATAATCTCTTTTTGTGAAAGAAATGGTAAATTGTACCGTTTCTCTAAAACGTTTTGCGGAATCTTAATTCTGTGATAACTTGAAACGAGTTTGTTCAGACTCGTATATAATGTCACAAAGATTTATACTAAATTACAGAGGTAAAAAGAATTAAATTCACGGCGGTAGGTGATATTTCTATATAATGAACTTTCTCCATTTAAGCGTTGGCACATTAGACTTTAAAGTTGAAACATCAAAAACGTAACTAATGTTCAATTTACTCTTACAAAAAAGGCTATTTTAATGGACACTTTATACATATATAGGGGAGAGTCTCCAGTTGTGAGACGGGTTTCATTTTTGACCCGTAAATTGTAAACGGGTAAACGAAATTGTAAATAAAATACACCGTTCGAAAGGTAACAGAAATACGCAACTTTTATTAAAAGAAAGTGTAGTGTTTCGATGAACTCAAAAAATTTTACGATACATTTTCCGAGCACATCGCTTTTATCAAAAAAAAAATGTCTCCAGTTGTGAGACACTGATTAAAAATTGCTAAAATTTAATAAGTTTGACATAAAACGTTATGTTTAGTATAAATAATTAAATATATTAATAATATATATTATTATATACTGAATAATAATATTTATTCGCCAAAATATGACTATCAAATAAACAGAATTTAATAGCTTCAACAAGAGCAATGAAATTGATTTCTTCTGAATCAATTGACTTTTTTCCACTTGACATGCTTGCAAAGTCGTATTTTTTATGCTGCCCAGATGGGTGTTGACACCGTCTCACAACTGGTGATATGCCGTGTCTCACACCCAGAAATTGACGCTATTTTGAAAAAGGAAAATTAAATTATTTTCAACCGTAGATTGGAACAATGCAATATTGCATCACAAAATATAAGGAAAACACCAAAAGAAAATGCATTACATTTACCTTTTCCAATTAATTAACTTGGAAGAAAATTACTTTGCATTTATTGAAAAAACGCTTTTTAGTCGATTATCACACACAGTGTTGGTATTTAACAAAAACAGTTTATATATCCGCTTCGGCGTACACGAAAAAGTTGGCTCATATAAAAAGAAATGTTTTTATATAAACCAATCGGCTTTTTAATATTGCATGTTAAAAAAATTGACTGTCTCACAACTGGAGGTGTCTCCCAACTGGAGGCTCTCCCCTATATATATAAATGTGTCTGGCTTTCGTTAAATTAACGCGTAGTCGCGTATAGATTCTCGATATGTTTCAATATTTCCCTCCTTAAAATTCAAAATTGCCAATTTAGTTTACAATTTAGTGGTGTAAAGAGATATTTAAATTTTCCACTGGACGATTCTATTTTAGATTTTGAAAAGCATAAACCTTGACAGGTTTTTTATAATGGCAAAAAATATAACAGAAGTTCGTGTCATAAAAACGGATAATAACCGCTTAATGGCGGAATAACAATTTGATAAGTCATGCTGCAGTCATAAAATTCTATTCTCAATGACAATGTTCTATTGTTATTCAGGTCTATTATTATCATCATTTCACGATGATGGTCTGAAATATTGTAGAGTTTGAAAAAAGAATAAATTAAGATTAATTTTATTGTATGAA